CTCGCCACGCCCACTCCACCCCCCCAGGTCAAACACAACCCTCATGCAGCCCTCAGTGAAATCGAGTTTGACACCCCTGATCTAGGTAATCATATCAAGCATTTTCATAAATGTGTTATTATTTGCACCCTTTACTCCAAATCTCCAATTCAAATTGGCTTGCCAAATCTGTATTCTTGAGCTTTCTCATTTGGTACCCAGATATTACCTTTGGTCACAAAAGTCTAAAACATGGCTCTCTTTCCCTATGTGGCCTATATGCTGCCTGATGTTGAAAAGAATCGCAGCCAAATTCTGCTTTCTCTGTCGTTTCTTTTTCTTTTTTCTTTTTGCTTGTTTCCTATAACAGTCACCTGAGGTGAAAAAGGAAAGGCGGCAACAGAGATAAGTCCAGTAGCCTGGGCCCAAAAACAATCTACTACTTCCTCCACAGCATCAGGGGGTATGTTTGCTTTTAAACAGCTCTGGGAAATTGCTGGGAGAAGTCCAAAGAATAAATTAATGCCTGGGACTGGGAGGATGGGTGGGGGAGGAGCAGTAGAAATCAGATTGCGTTCAGGGCTAGGTCTAATTGTGGCTCCAGATTTAAACATCATTTTATTACATTTTAGTTCAGGGAACATGTGACATTTTTTGACAAGGTCAAGATTTCGGAAAATATGTTTTCTGAATAAATGTTGTCTTTTTGAACTAACAAAAAGAGATGTAGCTGTTACGTTCTTTAGGAAGAGCCCACCAGTTTTACCACCTCTTATGATATAAGACCATGATGGCAAACCTATGGCACGCATGCCAAAAGTGGCACACAGCTGGTCTTCGCATGTGTGGGAGTGCCAGAAACTGGAAAAGCAGATCCCTGGTGCACACATGGAAGCTGAGCTTCCAGTTTCCGGTGTGCGCATGCGTGCCAGGGAGCTGCACTTCCGGTTTCGGGCTCTCCCTCGCATGCACGCGCTCCCATTTCTGCACTTGGTGCCAAAAAAGTTCGCCAACACTGATATAAGACAACACAGTATCAACAGTAGAGACCTTCAGGTTCCTGGACACCTAACATTAGAATCATCTTTAAAAAGCCACAACAAAGAATGTTCCTCTTGTGTCAATTCAGAAAGCTCAGACTGCCCAAGGAGCTGCTGATACAGTTCTACAGAGGAATTATTGACCCTGTCATTTGTACTTCTGTAGGGACGCAGTGGCTCAGTGGCTAAGACGCTGAGCTTGTCTATCAGAAAGGTCAGCAGTTCGGGGACTTCCGGTTTGTTCCTCATCAGTGTTGGTGCAGAATCCGTGATCATGCGCGGTTTCACCTGAGCTCACTTGCTGGAGGGTACCAATCGGAACCGGAGCCACCCTGGTGGGGTGGTGAAAAAGGGGGAAATTGCCTGGAGGGTTGAGGGGAGCCGCAACTCCCCTCCCTGACAGGAAAATCCCTCCCAAAGGCAAGCTACAGCAGTGTTCCCAAAATGGCCACCACGAAGACAAAGAACACTCTGGGAAACTAAATTTTGTGCTGGAGAGAGAAGTAGCAAGCAGAATGTGAACCAGGCAAAGGACATTGCTATTGAGAACCACCCGGTAATTTGGGAAACAGTTGGGAGGCCAATAGAAGATTCGGGATAAAGACTCAAGAGTATGAATTGTTGAAAATAAACTCAAAAGATATTTGCTGAAATAATATACTGGACTCTGGGATTGAATGTATCTATCAAAGAAGAGGATTTCAGCTATTAAGGAAGAGGAATGAAAAAGAAAAAAGGAGAAGATATGATGGAGGAGCTACTTGATAATATATGACTGGATTCACAAGACATAAAATCGGATATGCAAGATACAAGGGACATGATAAAAATCAAACTTAAAATGTGTAATTATGTACTACACAAATTAGAAGTGGTGACTCATCATACACAAGAACAAAATAAACCAGAGGGGGAGGAGGACAAAATGAATAACAATTATTTAAGCAGGGGGGAAAGGGAATTAGAATTAAAAAATTTGTGGTCTGATGGGATGATAAAAGGGAGAATGGTCCGGAAAATGGTTAAAGAGAGAAGGAAAAAGCAGAAAAAGGAAGTGCAAAGGAAAAATCAAAAGAGGGAGAGAGAAAAATTTAATAACTGGAATGAGAAAAGGAGGGGAATAAGAATGGGGAAAGGGGGAATTAAGAGAAAGGACCAGAAAATAAAAAGGAACAGGAAACAAACAAGGATGAAAAGAAGGTACATTGTTCAAAGAGTGAGAGATAATGGGTGAAAAAAAAAGAGATAAGGAAGGGGATTCCGCAAGGCAATATGTTGGGATGTATAAGAATATATTGAAAAGAGTATTTTGTAATGTATAGCTGATTTATAGAGAAAATATAATGCGGAATCTGAGAAAAATGGAAGGAGATATATCTGGAATTGAATAAATGAACATAGAATTGAGATGAGAATTTTAGATAATATTGTAAAATAAGATATGAGAACATGTTTTGGGATTGGATAAGATAAGCTTAATATTTAATAATGACAAGGATGATGCAATATGAAATTAAACAAATAAAATGAATAGGTAACTATGGTCATGTTTGTATTGAGATATGAAACCTGGAACCATACTGCTTGCCAAATGAGAATTTTTTATTTAAAAAAATAAAATGAAAACAGGGAGAAAATTAAATAATGGAATTATTAGGTATGTTTAATATGATGGTAGGCTTTTGGAGAGAGTAAGGTTGAAAATAAATATTGAAGTATGAATTAATATGAATATATGCAATGAGAGATGTATGATATATTAATGCCACACTATTAATGTATTGTTGTTATATGTAGATTGAAATAAAAAATTCTTGGGAAAAAAAAGAAAGGTCGGCAGTTTGGCGGTTCGAATCCCTAGCACCACGTAATGGAGTGAGCTCCTGTTACTTGTCCCAGCTTCTGCCAACCTAGCAGTTTGAAAGCATGTAAAAATGGAAGTAGAAAAATAGGGACCACTTTGGTGGGAAGGTAACAGCATTCCATGCGCCTTTGGCATTTAGTCATGCTGGCCGCATGACCACAGAGATGTCTTCGGACAGCGTTGGCTCTTCAGCTTTGTAACGGAAATGAGCACCGCCTCCTAGAGCCGGAAACAACTGGCACGTATGTGCGAGGGGAACCTTTACCTTTTTAACTGTCTGGTTTGGTACAGCAACTAAACAGGACAGGTAGAGACTTCAAGTTAGGACTGCAGAAAAAACATTTGCAACCAACCTGTCTTCCACTGAGTACCTGCATGATGCTGAAAAAAAAATAGATGGCTGCAAAAATATCTATAGATCCCACATAAACTTGTTTCAAATCCTCCCCTCAGGATGCCGCTATAGAGCATGCCAAAACAACTAGACATAATTTTTCCCCTCATGTCATCACTCTGTTGAACACCTAATTCCCACAGCACTGCCTTAGGTCTAAGGATATTTACCTGTGTAGTGCTGTAATACTATTATCCTTCCCATCTTTCTTATTATCTTCTACTATTGGTATCTTATGATTATATTACTTTGTTGCTTTTGTGTACACTGAGAGTTTATGCACCAGAGACAAATTCCTTGTGTGTCCAATCACACTTGGCCAATAAAGTGTATTGTATTGTATTCCATTGCATTGCAAAGTATTGATATGTTACTACTGTATATGATATGTTCTCTTACAAGAATCAGTTTGATCTAGTGGTTAAGGCACCAGGCTAGAAATCAGGAGACTGTGAGTTCTAGTCTCATTTTAGGCATGAAAGCCAGATAGTTGATTTTAGGCCTATCACCCTCTCTCACCCCAACTCTCCTCACAGGGTTGTTGTGAGGAAAATAGTGGGAAATATGAGTATTCAGCATGTTTGCCACCTTGAGTTATTTATAAAAGAGACAAACATGTGAAAAAATCCTTAGTAATACAGTAATACAGCCATTGTGGTGCATGGGCTAAGTATTACCAAGGGAAACCCAGATTTAAATCCCCACTTCACTATGGAATTCACTCAATGACTTTGGACCAGTCACTCATTCTTACCCTAACCAACCTACTTCCTGGGCATAAAATCAGAGTAGAATCACATGTAGGCTTCCTGACAGTGTCCTGAGTAAAGGAAGAATATAAATGCAATAGCGAATAAAAAACAGAAATTAAAAAATATTTTATCTCCTTGCACCTTCCCCCTTTCCCCAACACACTCATATTCACAGGTCATTTAACTATAGCAGTACTGATAAACCTGAAGGCTTATATACTACTTTTGTGGGGTTGGATTGTTGGAATATATTTCTTATATATTTATAGTAAGCTTAATTAAGAATTGATGAAAGATTGAATAGGTTGTAGTAATACCATTTTATAAAGATTTTTTTTATTTTATTATTATTATTTTGTTTGTCAATTGCTTACAAGATAATAGGCATAAATAAAAATATAGTTATGAATATATGGATACATATAAGAAAAATAAAAGAAACAATAGGACAGGGACGGTAGGCACGTTGGTGCGCTTATGTACGCCCCCTACAGACCTCTTAGGAAAGGGGTGAGGTCAATTAGTAGACAGTTTAAGGTTAAAGTTTTTGGGGTTTGGGGAAGAAATCACAGAGTCAGGTAGAGTGTTCCAGACATTGACCACTCTGTTGCTGAAGTTGTATTTCCTGCAATCAAGTTTGGTGCGGTTAACCTTGAGTTTCTATCTATTGTTTGCTCATGTATTGTTATGGTTGAAGTTGAAATATTCATTGACAGGTAGGACATTGCAATGTATGATTTTATATACTATACTTAGATCGGACTGAAGGCGGTGTAGTTCTAGGTTTTCTAGGTCTAGAATTTCAAGTACGGTGGCATAAGGTATTCTGCAATGAGTATAGGAGTGGAGAACTCTTCTTGTGAAATATTTCTGGACTTTCTCAACTGTGTTAATGTCAGATACGTAATGTGGGATCCAGACTGATGAGCTGTATTCAAGTATTGGTCTAGCAAATGTTTTGCATGCTCTAGTTAGTAGTGTAATATTACCAGAGAAAAAGCTACGTAAGATTAGGTTAACAACTCTTAATGCCTTTTTGGCTATGTAGTTACAGTGGGCTCTAGCACTTAGATCATTAGAGATGAGTACCCCAAGATCCTTGACAGAGTTTGGATCATCAACAAGGTCTTGACTATTCAGCTTGTGTTTTATTTTCTGATTTTTTTTTTGCCAATATGTAAGACAGAGCATTTATTTGTTGAGATTTGAAGTTGCCATTTGTTTGACCATTCTGATACATAGTCAAGGTCTTTTTGAAGGGTAGCAGTATTGTCTGTGGTGTTGAATAGCTTTACATCGTCAGCGAAGAGAACGCAGTTGCTCTTAATATGATCACAGAGGTCATTTATGTAGAGTATGAAGACACCACTGTTGGGGGACACCACTGTTGACAGGTACAGAATTTGATAGGACACTCCCAATTTTGACAATTCGTTGTCTGTTTGACAGGAGTGCTTCTATCCAGTTATGCAGATGTCCAGAGATTCCGTAAGATTTTAGTTTTAGGAGTAGTTTGCTGTGTATCACTGAATCAAAGGCTTTACAGAAGTCTATGTAGATTGCGTCTATTGCTTTGCCCTGATCGAGTTGTGTAGTCCATATGTTTTTGCAGTGTAAGAGTTGCAGATTACATGATAATTTTTTTCGGAAACCAAATTTTTTATTAGAGAGTAGGTTGTTTGTCTCTAAGTGGAGGATAATGGGTTGGTTAATAATTGATTCCATGACTTTACAGGTGACGCAGCATAAAGAGATTGGTTTGTAATTTTCAACTAGGCTGGGGTCTCCCTTTTTGAAGATGGGGATGACCGTGGCTTGTGACCATAGTTTTGGCAAGGAGCTGGTCCTGAAAGATTTTTCAAAGATTATGCTTAGAGGTTTGGCTATGGCAGTGGATAGCTTTTTTAAGAAGTAGGCACATATTCCATCCAGTCCAATAGATAGAGATGGTTTTAGATTGCGTAGTGCTTTTTCAACATTGTCTTCTGTAAAATCAATATGTATTAGATCATTGTAGTTTTCTGTGGTTCGACTAGGAAATACTGGGCATGATCCATTGCTGTTTACAAATACTGAGCCGAAGAATGTGTTAAAGAGGTTGGCTTTAATGGTGTCATCATTGCAGTCTTTACAATTAGGTCCTTTCAGGGGTGGGATTGGTTTCTCCCAGTCTTTATAAACATCAGGTAGCAAAGGGAGGCATGCATCTTATTTCTATCTAACAAAATGAAATTCAATGGTGAGAAAAGTAAGGTTCTACATTTAGGCAAGAAAAACCAAATGTACAGGTATAGAATAGAATGGAACTTGGCTCAAGAGTAGTAATTGTGAAAGGGATCTTAGAGTCCTAGTTAAATACTTAAATATGAGCCAACGGTGTGCTGCAGCTGCCAAAAAAGCTAATGCAGTGCTAGGTTGCATTAACAGAAGATAGAATCAATATCACGTAAAGCATTTGTACTATTTAATAATGCCTTGGTAAGACCACCAATTCAATTCCACCAATTGGAATATTGCATTCAGTTTTGGTTGCCCCGATATAACAAAGATATAGAGACTCTAAAAAGAGTGCAGACAAGAGCAACAAAGATGATTTAGAGGACTGAAGGCTAAAACTTATCAAAAATAGTTACAGAAACTGGGTATGTCAAGTTTAATGAAAAGAAAGACTTGGGGTGATAACAGTGTTTCAACATCTAAGGGGCTGGCACAAAGACGAGGAGGCCAACCTATTCTCCAAATCACCTTAACAAGACCAAGAAGCAATGGATGAAAACTAATCAAGGAGAGAAGCAACCTAGAACTAAGGAGAAATTTCCTGAAAGTTAGAACAATTAATCAGTGGAACAACTTGCCTCCAGAAGTTGTAAATGCTCCAATACTGGAAGTTTAAAAGAAGAGATTGGATAATCATTTCTCTGAAATAGTACAGAGTTTCCTCTATAGGACAACTCACAGTGGGAAAACTTGCCACAGGACAATGTTCTGTGGAACAACTCGCTGCAGGAGAATTGCAGCAGGAGAATGCTTTAGGTTTGAACTGTTTCAGGTTAGAGGTCCTCAAGGTCGGGATCAAACCTCAAGAATGTTCAAACCTAAAGCAAGACAAGGCCCACTGCAATTCTCCCATGGCGAGTTGTCCCATGATGAGTTGGCCAAGGCAAGTTGGCCATGACGAATCGTCACATTCCGTCTTGGTTTGAGCTGGGGGTTGAAGTAGACTTCCAAGGTCCCTTCCAACTCTGTTATTCCGCATAAAAAACCATTTATATAAGAAAGATAATTGCCCACTGAACATCTGCTTTAACTCTAAGGAGGCATCTGTTCTTACTCTAGATAACGAAACATATGTTTGTAATACAAGAACACATTCCATTCCATTGATAATGATTGGCCTAATCCTTAAACTTTAAAAAAAAACAACCTACAGCAAGGGAGGCAGAGGAGCAGAAAAACAGCCACCCAATGTAACCTGACAACCTTGGGATGAATACATTTATTTTATTTGACCTTCACTGATCATCTGGTGTCTTTCATTGGATGTCTGGTTTGGCATAAACAGCAGGAAAAGATACAGCTCAGGGTTGAAATGAAGAGTCCTTGATGCTCTCTGACCTTGGTTGTTTTCTTGCAGATGTTTCATGATCCAAACTAGGTAACATCATCAATGCTGATGATGTTTCCTAGTTTGGGTAATGAAAAGTCTGCAAGAAAGCAATCAAGCTCAGAGAGCATCAGGGATCTCTCAGGAAAAGAAGTGTCTGCATCTTCTTACGGGGTTTACTCTGAAATTCATTGCACAGAACAGGATCAACTCAAAGCAGCCATCACTGCTTGTGTACTTTGTTTGACCACAGTGATGTAAACACTATAGACTTACAAGTATTCCTCCATTAATCATGACGACAGCTAGGGTTTAAAAACCGATTGACGGTATTCTTGAAACAGGACAGGTACAGAACTGGGCTTAGTATATGGGAAAGATTGTAAGGTTTTCATATGCTTTACTGATTTCTGAAATAATTCTCATATTTTCCTTAGAAGAATGGCTAACTAACATCGTGCCTACCATCCCAGTCCTATTGTCCCCATTTATTCGTACCTATTTCCTGTATTCTTACTCATGTTTATACTTATACCTATTATCTTGTAAGCGATTGACAAATAAAATAAAATAAAATAAAATAAAATAAAATAAAATAAAATAAA